TTTCGTTTCATTTTCCACTCGCCTTCCATAACCCTTTCTTTATTTCTTTCTTTGCTTTCTTCGTCTAACCCTAATTAGTATACTATTTTTGTGTATTTTAATCACAAGTATGAACGAGTCCATACACGACTGACCAACAGTTTAGAGAATTAATAATTGAACCATGAACCACTAACTTTTTCAGATCAAGGTCGCGTTCAATTAAAAATAAATATATATGGTTATTACTTATTAGAAAGTCATCATTTTCCACTATGTGATTTGAAGGCGTGAAATTTTAAGTGAGTTCTTGTTTGTATTCCTTTTGCTTCTCTCTAGAGTTTTTCTTTTTAACCCGGACTAGAAGTTTCAACAATTATATATACATGGAATGTTTGGCTAGGTATATACACATATCAAATAAATAGTTTTCATTTTTCTATAAAAAGGTAAATAATTATCATCTTAAATAGATCACCATAAAAGGAATTAAGCCTCAAAATTACAGTTTGATACCTAAACTTAATAGATCTTTATATTTATAACCTAATTTTTTTGGCATATAAGTCCTCAAAATATTGACGGAACATTATATTTTAGTACCTAAAATCTTTGTGTATTTCATTTTGGTACCTAAGCTTTTGAAGTTCTACAAATAGGTCTAATTTTTGTATGTGTAACTAAAACACCCTCGAATAAATCGGTATCCATAGACAACTCATACACATTTAGATTATAGATGTAAATATCCATACCCTACTCGAACCCATCTACAAACTTTCAAACCCATATATACGTTACCTATGCCCCCATAATCAATGGGTCTACTTGCGTTTTAGTAAATATCATTTACTAACCAAATTTTCAAAAAAAAATTTAATTGGATGTTGACCGCCATATATTCCTTTTCAGTCAATATCATATTGTCAAGTTCGTAGACTTAATATCCTTAATGCCAAGTCCGCGCTGCATACTTCGGTGCCTTGCAAACATCTCATCTCACCAAATAAAACACATGATCATTATTGACCCAGGTTTAAATAAATTCTTATCGAATCTTTTCAATTTTTCCTACGAGCAATAACAGATATATTGTGCTGAAATAACAGGTTGATTGAACTGAATTGATGAGTCTTTTCTTGTCTCGAGCTTGCAAGGAAGATCAAGTTTCGGAAAATTTCGTTGTAGATAAATCGTATATTATCTGGTGCGGGGCTCTCTCAAGAAATATGATCATGAAATTTCTATTTCTCGTCGACTTGCCTACCATGTCAATTGTCAAGTAAGTGTCTTTTGGTTTGATTTCACAGTTTTATATGTTGCAGATGCTTCCTTATCATTTTGTATCAGTTGTTTGTAATTCTCTGTCCATATTAATCGTCCTCATCAGCACACAATTACCCAGAAGTAACATATCATCTACAAAACCTTAATCTATCAAGTACATGATTGCATTACATGCATGAATATGAACAATACATTATGTATCAGTGTTTCATCATTGAGGAATATATAAACGAACTCGACTAAGAAACAAGGATTTCAATCTCATGTAGTGCGTGGAGGTGCAAACAAAAAGATAACATGGGGGAGATTAGCCTCAGCTAGAAGAGAGCGTTCCTGATTCATGCCCACCATATTTTGATTCCAAAACCCTAAAAGGCTAAAACAAAAACCCCAAAGTAGGATTCGGCAAGTTGCAGGCCGCCACATGAGAAACCAATCCTATGGTCCACAGTGTGGGGTGCATGGAACACTCAGCTCCACCTAATCATGGCCCCACTCTCCCGTCAATGGTGAATAATATATTACGCCAAAAAAAACAAAATAATGAATAATATACACCCTTTTATTTCACTCATCTTTTGGAAATTAGAAAGAAAAAGAAGAAAAAAAGAGTACATTCTGCAGAATATGCTGATCGGGAGAAATAATGGAGGGCAACGGCGACCGTATGGATCTTTTCTTTTATCTTTTTTTTTTTTTCTGCGGGGCGATCATGGGCGTAGGCCGCTCGCCACGTACGTTTTTATTGTCATTTTCTGGCCGTCCGATCCAATAATAATAATAATAATAATAATAATAATAATAATGGCTGTGTCTTTCGGCCATGTATTTGTTTCACCAACTGAATGGTGTACAGTACAATGATATGGAGACAGCAATGATCCTTGCAAGAGTTGGGCACAAACCCAGAAATGAATGAAGCTGACGAAGACATGCAAGCAATCAAACAACACAAAAGAGAAGAGAAACCTCATAGGCAACGCAAACTCGCAGCGGCTCCATGCAAGTCATTGCTCCCTGTCCCAGCAGATCAGATTGTACGCATGCAGGGGAGGACCTAAGACTTCCGACACATGCAGTTTCGATAATTGTTGCCATACACACATCTCCATCATACTGTAATGTTAATCAATTTTATAAGTAATTGAGATTTGTTTCAGAATCGATTAAGTGACCCACTTATAAATGATTATTTAATTGTATATATCGAACGAAAAAGGTTTTAATTCACGGACGAATATATTTTATAAACCTATAAGAATATGAATAATGTTTGTGGTTCATTGTGAAAAACAATAAAATAGTGAAATTTATGAATTAATTTTTTATTCTTTCTTTCATATATTTTATTTTCGTAGACCAACACACCTCTCTGAAAATTCTAGGTTCGCCACTAATTATACGTAAGACAAGCTTTTCAACTATACTCCGAACAATGTCAGACTTAAAAGTTCGCTAATTTGTGTTACCGACTATTATTTTCAAATAAGTACTCAAGTTAATCAAATATGTTGAATAACAGATCTTATAAACCGATTCTTGTCGACATCATACTATGTGATTAGTTTTTACGGTTAATATTAGGAGCTACGAGGATCAAAACACGATACAACCTCCTGCAAAAAATTTGTAATACCACGCGGAGAACCGATATGTGAATACCCTAGTCAATTATTGAAATGCTGGAATCCCACATACTTTATAATTTTTTTTTTATTGGTGAGACATACTTTATAATTTATGTTAAGCCATTGGAAATTATGGCTCTTTCTTAAAACCGCCCCACATTCTGTTTCTCTTTTCCTTTTCCTGGATGCCTTTTGCTCGGTTTGGACTCTATGAATAATTCATAGGGTCGCAACTCGCAAATGGAATCCAAGACTTCCCCACTCCCTCCGACCCTTTCCATTTTGTTCAAAAGGGCTTATAATTAGTGGTTGGACTTGGAGGAATCACAAACACATGCACTCACTTTCGTTTGATCTAATAATAGGAGTCAATTCCCCACAACAAGAGAATATCCACATGGAATCAATCATGCTTTTGCTTATAAACTTTGTCTGGGTGATATACAGAATTGTGCAACTAATCCCACCATTGATCATTCAGGTTCTGTTTCCTAATATTCCAATAGCCAGCCCACTTATCAAATATTTGTTCACTCATGAATGTTTGTTGAGTTTTGGCAATCTTCAAATATTAACACTTAAAGAAAGTGTATATAGAAAGATTTAGAAAAAAAATGATTTTATAAGGATTTTGTTATGTGACAATCCAAATATCACATCGGTAATACAATGGAAGAAATTCTTTATATAAGTGTCCACCAAGCTCATTAGTACGAGACTTTTTAGGGAGGACACCTAAGATTAAATCCGTGCGGGCTTTGCCAAGCGAACAATATCATACTAATGGATATGCCCGATTTCGACAGGTTTTTATGGATTCACTTAATAGAGTACAAGTTATATTTTTCTAATTGTTATTTTATTATTTAATTGGTCTCGTATGGTGAATTTAATTCTTGCATATATTAAGATGGACCAAAAATCCAAAATGTATTGATTTGTGAAATGTGTCTATAATTTACATCGAAGGTGGGCTGCAAGTTGCTAAAGAAGTGGAAGAAGAAACTGAAAAAAAATATGGTCCATGAATGGAAGGAAGCATAATAGCTTTGTCGAGTCTCAGACCGAAATAATTGAACCGCGGGGCTACTTTATCAAACTGATCATCACTAATGGTTAACAATAAAAATCCAGACACCAGTTTTTGATAATTATAATTTATAAACAATCAAGACATTAATCACACCAAAATCAAAACTCTTTAGGGAGTTAGGTTCCATGAGTATAATTTATACAGACAAACTCTACTATCCTTTTCTTTTCGAGATTATCCTGCATTGCCTATTTGCATTTTATGGGCTAGTTTGGTTTTGCGGCACATTTTGCAGAAGCAGCTTCTGGATATAATGTTTAGAGAAATACTTATAAAAAAAAACAGTTGATTGTTTAGCTGAAAACTACTTGAAGTTCTTTTTAATATAATAGGTTATGTAAAATGACTATAAAGGATTTATAATATAAAATAAAAATTCTAAGGATTAATACCTTAGTTTGGCCCGAACTATATACAAATTTTCTACTTTGGCTCGTGGTTTGCGAAATTGCTATCCTAGTATGAACTATGTACCATACTTCCTAACTTGGCCCGGAGCCGGGTTTGACCGTCAAATTGGAATGTCAACTCCGTTGACCGTTAGTCAATGTCCAGCTCACTTGCCATGTCAGCAAGCATGGAATACAAAATTTTATTTTTTGAATTTTTGTATTCATTTTCTTTTCTAGTAATATTAATAAAAATAAAAATAAAAAACTCCAATTTTTCCCCTCCATAGGGAAAAACCATTTCCCAAACTCCCTTCTTCCCGAAACATATCTCCTTCTTCCCCGAAATCCTATCCCCTTATCCAACGAGCTGTCGCCGCCATTGGAGGATGAAAAATCGTATCGGCGGCTCGCATCCTTCTCATCCTCTTACTCTCTAATTTCTTCCAATCAAATACACACTACTTCTGTTGACAAACCAATTCAGAGACCAAAATATTTTGATTAACCAATCAACAAGTGAAGAGATACAGAATCCTAGTCCAATACTAGTACGCAGAAAGCATTGCACACAAAATTCCCCATTTTTTCCACTGCCACCATACCAAACAAAGATTATTACTTTCAGGCGGTGCTCTTTGGCTTCCCGGATTCTAGCGGTGCCACCGTTTTCTTCTTTGTCATTGCGACGACGGCCAAAACTTTATCTAGAGCCTCCTTCACCCTCTTCCTACAAACGACCGCTTCTTTAACCCTCCGGCTGGCTTCCTCCTCCGTCGCCCTAACCGCCTCCGCCATTGACCATGCGGCGATCTTGGCGGCGCAGAGCAGATCCGTGGAAATCTTGGCTTCGATGGAGAGGCGCGGCCCAGGGGGAGGGGAGAAGAAGGAAAAGATGGGGTCGGAGCAGAGAGGGCAGACGAAAGGGAACAGAAGGAGAGGGTGTGAAGGAGCGCAACGGGAGTGAGTGAGGGAGGCGCAGTTGGAGCACCACTGGAGCTCCCTGGTTTTCGATCTGGTTGTTTCACTCCGTGGATTGAGAAATGGGGAAGAAGGAGGGGATAGGTTTGGGAAGAAGGAGGGGATAAATTGGGGTTATTTATTTATATATTATTATTATTAGAAAATAAAATGAATACAGATTAAAAAATAAAAAAATTTATTCCATGCTCGCTGACGTAGCAAGTGAGCTAGACATTGACTAACGTTCAACGGAGTTGACCGTCCAATTTGACGGTCAAACCCGGCTCCGGGCCAGGTTAGAAAGTATGGTACATACTACATAGTTTAGGTCAGGATAGCAATTTTGCAAACCACGGGCCAAAGTAGAAAGTTTGTGTATAGTTCGGGCCAAACTAAGGTATTAACCCAAATTCTAAAGAATAAAAAGTATTCAAAATGGATCTTGTTAGGTTTTTTTATATTAAATATTATGATTTTATAATTTATTTTATTTTTAAAATTATATAAATGAAAGAAAATTATATTTTCTGCAATAAAATTAAAATATGATAAGGATAATCTTGTATTTTCAAAATAGCTTTCTGCAGAAACTCAAAATCGAAGCTTCTGCTTTTATGTTATGCAAAAGCACTTTTCAGCTTTTCAAAAGCCGAACTTTTAGAGGTGTTTGGCCCTGCTTCACCTTTTGAAGACGAAAAACACTTCTAAGAGTCGGGCCAAACATAGGCTATGTATTCTTATCATAAAGAATATGTCGATTATTCGTTAAATGCTCGTTTTATATATAGAATTTTTCGTCTTACCTATGAGTACCATGATAATAATTTGACAACAAACGATCTTGATCATCATCAATGTGATGAATATGTAGCTCACTCTTCTATTATCATGTCACTGATATTTTAGATATTTTTTACAGACGGTTTTGTACCAAATTAATGAAAAATTTATTTAATTTTAAAATGAATTACTGTGTAGAATTCATTGTCAGATGAATTCCTCTATTTGATATGTCATATTCAAATCTTCGGAAATAAAATGAAGTGAATTCCAAATCATGTTTGACATATGTTTAGAATTGAATTAAGTTAAAACTTTTCAACTACACCCTTAATGATTTCCGGCAGACACAAAATGCATTGAAAATGCATTTTTTTAAAAACGCCTTTGATCCCAAACGTAGAATATCAAAAGTCTGTTTGTGTGTTTCTATTCTATTCATTAGTTTTTTTCCTAATATTTTGTCAATGAATCCTACACTCTAGTTGTGGCTTCTCAACGTACTAATACAATCGAAGCAGAAATATAAAAAAAACTAGCATATGCTCCTAGCTTTGCAATCAAATTTTTGCCAACGTTCATTACACAACATGAATTGGTGCAAAATAATATAAGTAGAAAGTAATTTAATTAATAAATGAGGATAAATATGTCATTCTATAATAATTAGTAAATATTATGAAATTTATTTGGAAATTTCATTTCAATTTCTTGGAATTGTTATAATTATTTCCAATTTTTTAGAATTCAAAATTTGGAATTGGAAATGAATTTTTTTAAATACCAAAAATAAAAAGATTTCATTTCAAAATAAATTACTCAAAATTTATGAAATTCATTTATAACAGACGGTATGATGAATTCTTATGACGGCGGGAAAACTTCCCAGCCTCGATTGGCGAGATGGAGTATATTGGCTCTTGCATTCATTTGATCAATTGACCTGTTTTTTATTAGGACAAAACCTCTTTTGTAACTGCAAATCGGGAATAATATCTGGGATCATGACCTGGCGGCAGCTTGACTCCGTTATTTATTTATTAAATTTTCTCTTATACTGTTGTCCATGATGGAATGGAGCGCTTGTTGATTTGGTATTAAGTCTGTGACTGAGTGGCCACCAGACAGACAGCTGCACTTCGAGGTTAGTTCTTGGTAAATTACATGTCATCCAATGAGAGAATGGCACGTAGGCGTATGTACCTGTGTCCTGTCTCGACCTCGCTATTATTATCGGTGTGGGCTCATGCATAATTATATATAACAACACAGCAGCTATCAGTTGGAAATTAAAGTATAGTCAATAAGGAAAGGAAAAGGGGAATAAGGAAACGTCTGATCATGAATCGCCTTTCACTTGTTCAACCATGAAAAAGACCAGTTCAATGTCCATTTAAATCTATGTGTATATATTGCTTTGCTTTGGTGGGTGAAAAAAAGGAGGATAGGATAGGAGGCGGTTGATTCATCAAAGCAAAGGCCCATGTTCAAAGTGTTACGAGAATCTAGTTACATGCAGCAGAGAAAGGAAGTTGCCTGCCTCTTCTAGGCGATTTCCCTCGTGATAATTAGAGGTAAGCTAAGTGAGGCCAAATTAACTTGAAATGTTTTTTTTTATAATGGTGATAGCCTTTTATTAATTAAAACAAAGGAAAAACACAACCGAACAGAGTACACGCACAACAGGCGGAGGCAGAGAGCCAAACAATCGACCTGCATGCTGGAACAAAAAGGAAACATTACAAACATAGTCAACTGTGGTGTTTGTATGGGCTAACACATATGCGCACCGGGGACTAGTATGTGTAGATCGGTGTGGCTTGACACATAAGCATGGAAGGCTATATGGTGCTTAACAAATGAGATACGATACATGGCGGGGAAGTCATCATGTGATCTTATAGTGTTTTGAGTATCATGGCCACAAATGAGAAAGCTTTAGAGGTGATACACGGAATGTTAACTTATCGTAGTTATATTAGGAATTCGTATACTACTAACCATACGTGAATTCAACCAACACATTCAACTCCATCCTCAATCCAGTTTGTGGCAAATAAAAAGCATTTTAAAGATAATTTATGTGGATATTTGGGGACCTTTGTCTATTTCTCCGTACAATGAATTTCAATATCATCTCACCATTGTTGATGATAAGTTTATATACGTGTTTGAGCATTTCTCATGAAACAAAGAGCGAGATTGAAAAACTATAACAAAAATTATTGCACTATGGTCAAAACTCAATATATGATAAGCAGGTTATTAAGATGATTAGAACAGACCAAGGAGCAGAATGACATAATCAATCAAATGTGGTGTGTAGAGACACCTCGATTGCTATGACAGTTATTGAAAAGATATAAAAATGTGACATTTCACTACAAAATAAAGGAGGTTTGGGGACGACAAAAATCGTCCCTAGAAATATGAAAAATCGTCCCTATAGTTTTTGGGGACGACTAAGTCGTCTCCAATGTGTGGTTCCCTATACTCTTGTCCTCTATTCCTTTGGGGACAACAAAATTCTAGATCGTCCCCATTATTAGGGACGACAGTCGTCCCCGATACTCGCATCTCGTTGTCTCGTTTCTTTTTCATGAAAGACAACATGTCGTCCCTATAGTCATAACTTTAGAGGCAATAAGTCGTCCCCTAAACATCATTTTCAGGGACAAACTGTTGTCCCCCATAATCGATTTTATGATTTTGTTGGGTCTATCTGGGGATAATATCTGGTCTCTGTAGCTGCCAGATTGGAGTAAAGAAATCATATGTTGCATCTTTGGGAACGAGAAATTGTCATCTATCAAACTTCTAGGGATGAAAATTGTCCTTTAATTTGTGTATTGGTGACAACGAATTATATAATTTTATAGAGACACGTTATCTATATAGCATATACCTTACAAGTTTATTTTTTGGGACAATACATAGTGATCTTAATTACTAGGGGCCATCAAAGGAGAAAAAAAGGCTTTTGGATAACAAAGATAAGAGATAATATCTTCATCTTGCCTCAAACCTTTTCATTTTAACTTCTGCAAAGAGAATATCCATTCTATGGGTTGCCATATATAATAACTAGATACACAACTTCACCTACCAATCAATACAAAGTTTACTCGACTTCACTCTAGAAAAATGTCGAACCTCTTTGCTTTATTGATCTTCCTGTCAAGGCAATTCTGCAATCTTCCAATCTTTGAATTACTGTAGCATCCAATTAAGCTAATAACAAAAGTTATGGATCATCCTTCTGCAACGAAAAAAAGAAGAAAAGAAAATACAAAGTTACAAAAAATTAGGGCATAATTTAAAAATTAAGATACCATGATAGAAACATAATCTTATGCAGGCAAGTATATTCTAATAATTACATGTCATTTAACAACTTAGATAAACCAACCTGCATTTGCAGACAAGTATGTTATGATAATTTACCTTGAGACTTTAATTAAGATTACTGAACCTTATTGATTAGTTCAGGGTAGTAAACAAGCTAGACTTCTTGGCTTCTTCAAGAGAACAACCAAGGTGGAACCTATCGCTGCATGACTGCACAATCTAAAAAAGAACACTGCTAAGAACCATTCAGATTCCTTCATACCAGAATGGAGCATTCAAATCCTTCTCCTGAATTAGTGTATTACTTTCATCCAATTAGGTCACTATCACAACGCAATTGCCATTGTTGGGAATTGTTCTGAACAATAAACAATAAACAAGAAGTGACGAAATTGATAATTCTTATATAAAATTGATAGTGATATATATATAGACCCAATGCTCGACACCATAATACAAATAAAATTTCCTCCTCCTTACCGTCAATGAAGCAAGCAACCTATATTGAAGTGGCCACTAAGTCCATCAAACATTTATTGAATCAATAAAGGAAGAGGAGGAGAAACAAAATTGAACTTAAAGCCCCAAAACTGTAATCACGATCATTCTTTACCTAATACAATCAGCGGAAGGGAAGATGCTCGCTCCCGTGGTACCAATTCTCTTCGTTAGCCTTTTAATTCATGCCCTAACGTACATGGTGATTCCTGTGGGAAGCAAAAAGATAAAAAAATAATAGTCTAAGAAAATTATCTTAAGCTAACAAGAATACCAACAGAGAGCTATAGAAACGACGGAGACGGCGCCGCCATCAGTATCTCCTATATCTCGGCTAGACGGCTACCCTGTAGGTAGGGTTAGGGAAACGAATGAGAAGATAATATATCATCCCTTTGTGTGGGTTTGAAGAA